AGCGATACCCAAAACAGATACAGATACGGATCCAGGTTCAGATGCAGATAAAGATACATGCAAAAGCAATCAGAGTATTGACCACAGCGATTTTTGACATGCTACGCATACAAATTAGAGCAGACTGCCCCTTCTTTTTTCTGGTTTTTTCCCTTTGGCTCATTTGAAAGCGAACAGGCAGAAAGCAATCCCCGATAAAGAAGCCAACAAAGGGCAGAAGCGAAAACCCAAAGCAGAAATCGGCAAACAGAAGCCAAAGAAAAGTTGGAGCAGTTAAAGAAAGAATTATATATATAAATAAAAACAGCATGGGCAAAAAAGCGAGTGGAAAAAGTGCTGAAAGGGTAGGAATAAGTAATGCAAAATACAGAAAAAATAAACAAAAGAACCCACTTTATGTGGGCGAATAAAAGATGCTCTTCAAAAGGTAGCAATCTTCTTTGGGAACATATAAATAAATGTATTTATGGATGGACAGAATAAATATTAAGATGTTTGGAACAAAAAAGGAGTAAGTATCTTTTAACAAGTGGCATTTTAAATAAAGCAGATAACCAAATTTAGAGCAATTTTTATTAAATATATATAAATGACATATCTAATGCCGGATTTATTTATTTTTTCATTATTTCTTTTTAGTTCCCATCACTATTTTTACTAAAATAAAAATGCTTAGCATGCATAAGGAGCTTTAAAAAGCAGTAAATGAAAAACTTTTCAAACTGAGGATTTATTTGGTATTAAAAAACATATATTTATGGGTAGTGAAGTATATCCGATGGAATAAACACAAAAAATTCCATCTAATCAAGAAATTCGCAGAGAATTTCAGCAAAAACCATTGGCATCATCAAGTACCCACAACACAATCCATGCTAATGATCCGAAGTGTCTGAAGACGAAGTCCCCGATTTCAAATCCACTGCCAAATTCCAGTAGCCAACGCAATTAGCAAAAGGTAAGGGGACTTTCAGGTGGGTTCGCCGGCTGTTCAGGCGTGACAATCGCCGCTGAGTTGGTCAAGAAATGCCATCACGTCAAGCGTTTTTCCAGCGACTTTAATCGCATTCGGAATGCAAAAACGAAACACAAAAAATGCAAAACGTAAAAAATATTATGGTAAATCAATTAATATTCAAAAGCTGTTGAGTCAGTAGCTTCTAGTAGAGCTGCAGCCGTTGAATGCGAAATAAAATTAAACAACCCAGAGATTAATCAACATTAATTGATATTCAAAAGCGGGTTTCTATCAACGCTTCATGCAAATATTTATAGAAATTAATTTTTCCTCGTACTGGTCAGCGACGTCAAAGCGGAGAAATAAATTGGCCTGGTGTGACAAAAAACTGTAAAAATCATTGACATGCCGATAAAAACGCCAAGCAAAAGCGACGCACAAAACTTTGCAAAATATTTATTTTCTGCAAATGCTGGTGAAAATTTTTCTGTAACCAAAACCAATGACGAGGTCGTTTGGAGGGTTAAACAAAGCAGAGAAAAACGTGCTGGCTCCGTCATCAGTCAGCAAATGTTATTGAATTTTTATCATTTTATTTACTACTTTATTGTGTCGGAACATCATTTTAATGCCGAGGAATTCTGGCTGCATTTCGGCTGTGAATGGAAGTTGTTTAAACAGCTGCGAGTTTAAATCCGCCACCCACCTCAAAAGGGAAAAATGAAAGCATAGAGTGCATAAACATGACTACAGATATACGAACCGAGAGATATAAATTCTCCGCTTGCGAGTTATAAATTCCATATGCCAAAGCATCAAAACAAAATGCGTGATGGTTTTTTTCGAGTTTTACGCTAGCAAAATAAAACTTTGGGGGATTTTGTAGAGGGCCAAAAAGCAGTATCTGATTCCATGGGGTTGATGGAAATTTAGGGGAACATGAGCTGCATTTCAGTAACTCTTTAAAGGAAATTAAATTTAGATACTACAAATACTTATAATATTTTTATTTTAGTTTAGCTTGTTATGTTTTGGTGAACATACCCATATTTTAAATTTAAAAACATTTCTTTGTTTTCATTTTATTTTTCACTTAATTTAACAAGATCGCCTGCCATTTCTTTTGTTTATTTGACTCTTACCTTTGTATATCAATATTTCCACAACAGAAATTCCAGCTAACTTAACCAATTTATAGTATCCAAAATCCCCTTTGTACCCAACGCCTCTGGCCATCTCTTTTCCACTTTTCCGTGCAATCCAACTTTGATTTCGCAAATGCAAATTGTGAATATATATATAAATTTTCCTCTGCAGGAAAAGTGCTTCTCATTTCCACTGCATCTGTTGCTAACCTCTGCTCTACCTGTCTCTTTTTGCACACCTGCACCCCTCTTTTTCCCCCTTTTTTGGGGGGCAACACACTTCGCACACGTCGCTGGATTTTGCACGTAAAAAATGTTTGAAACAAACAAAATATTTGTTTAATTTATTTTAATTTCAAAGTTGCAGCAGTTGCAGATATTTTTGGGTGGCGGAAAGGAGCCAAGCCGTGTGTGTGGAAAAGGAAAAACAGGGACAATAACAACTCCGGAAAAGTGAGAAAAACTAAGCCACAATCATAATTCACGCGCTAAAAACAGCAGCAGAAAAGCGGGGAAAATGGGGGTGGGGTGTTTTAGGAGTTTTGGGAGCGCAGGCACTTGGAAAAGCCAGGAAATGAAATGAATGTGGAAAAACTCAAAGGCACGGAAAACCCAAAAGGAAAAGGGCGACAGTTAGCAGGTAGACAAACGAAAATAAAAACCAAAGGCGGAGGGAATAAACATAAAAACCCAGAAAACGCACACAAATTGTTGCAAACAGCCTTTCGAGCACTTCTTAAGCAATATCCTGCGTTTCTCCTTGAGCATTTCATTGCGCACACAGGATATTCCGAGGAAAACTCGGCTAAATTGGAAGGCACTTCAAGGATCAACAGGAAAAATGTCAGTAAAATTAAGGAGCCGGGGTGGAAAAACAACATAAGTGCTGGCTTAAAATAAACTACGGAGATGCGGTTTGAAAAATGGAGTTTTCGGGATTTAAATTCTTCCCTTTAGCTAGTTGGGTCTATTTATTGGAGATACTGAAATTTCTCCCTGAGATATTATGAATTCCCAAATATTTAAATTGTAATTTCTTTTTACTTGGCTTCATCTTTTAAATATTTTGCCCAAGAGGTCTCGAGTTTTCTCACTCCCCGTTGCTAATCTTTTAATGTGTTTTTAATGTCCGATCCCTCAACCCCTGGAAGTAATCCCCCCGACCGCCGTCGTCAAATCTAATAATGCCCCCGAGTTGAGCAATTCCCCAGAAGCTCGGGGCCAAGAAACCTCCGCCGAGAGTTCATTGATTTCTGATTCTGGCCACTTTTTGCTTACTTAAGTCGGAGGCGTTGACAGCTAAGCTGGAAAGTCAACTTTTACGAGTAGTTCCTATGAAGGCGCTAGAAAACGCGTGTCAAAGGCCCAATTAAGATGTCAAATCAACACGTTTTATTTATTAAATGATTACACACGCAGAACACAAAGAGGAAAACGCGGGAGGCGCCATAAAGTTAATGGTGCAATATATATCTGTTGAGGGGGTAAAAACTCAGAGGGTCTCTAGGCCCAAACTAATCGCTGACAAATTAATAAAGGAGTTGCTCCCCTTTCGAGTTCCCTTGACCGATTTACCCGATTGAGTGGATATAATTCACATTTAAATTTAGCCCCGGCCCTTGGATGATTTTCCATGGGGTTCTTTAAGTATTAAAAAGCATTTTGTAAGCGAAGTATTATATGTGAGGAGGGTAAAACTTTGTCGAAGCGTGCCAAACTAAAGTTTTCTTATATCCCACTATGTCCCTCTGATTTCCACCTTCTACTTGTGCTACTTTTCTTCGGGACAGTGAACGTTCTGGCATAATATCAGCTTTTCCATACTGATACGAAATTATGGATGTTGGAATTCATAAGCATCGAATATAATTAAGACAGAAATTGTAGTATACTAGATACTCACTGAGTAGCTTTATAATCATAGACTTTGGTAGGGTTCCATTAAAAAATATCGGAATTATCGATATATCATTGTGAAAATCGATTTTGACACCTTTTTAATTATTTGGTTTGATGCGATATTAACAAAAATTTCGATAAAAAAAGGTTTCTTATAACCCTCCCAGGCACACAGTTTTATTTATGCAATATTGACTGTACTTTAAGTTCAGATTCAATATCGAGAGCTCTTGCTAACAGTAAACGCTGCCAATTGACAGGATCCAAAGTGAGCGGCGGAGACAATGAAGGCGGTGTGGAAAATCGGGTGGAAAATTGGGGAGGCTTGAGGACCAGATAAAAAAGTTTATGCTGACGTCAAGCTGCAACAACAAAGATCAACAAAAAACTAAAGTGACGTCGCAAGGTGACAACAGCAAAAGCGACATTGGAAAAACGGGGGTGGGGAAATGCCAAGGGAAAATTGTGGGAAAAAGGGGAGCTGTCATAAACAGGGGATGTCAAAGGAGGAACCGAAAGTTTTAATTGATTTGTGATATGCGTGTGTCAAAACAACGGAGAAGCAGGGGAAAGATTAGAAATTACCCCAGGTAGTAAACGGAATAAGGTCTGAAAAAATTATTTCGATAAAATATTACTACAACTGGATACAAAAAAGAGCTTATAAATAGTACTATTAAAGACCTCTGGGAACATATATTAATATTTTTAAACATTATACGGATGCAGACCTTGAGCCAGACAAAGAACGTTCAGAATTATCAACAGGTCGCCAAATTCAACAAAAAAATTATATATTTAAATCTATTTTTCTTATATTAAATCCTGGAATTTCATGAGATAGTCGTTAACCTATAATAACCCCACTTATCAAAATTAAAAAAAATCGCAAGCAATGCCATTTAAATTCTTCGAAGAGAAACAATTTCCAAATATTATTTTGTAAAATAAACAGCCCTTCTTATCAGCAATAAACAAAAGTAAAGAAAGTATCTTACCGATAAGAAAAAAGTTCCAAATATTTAGCGCTGCGCTCCTCGCACTCCTGCTATCGGCTATTGCCGTCTCTTTCATGGCAGTTTTTCGTCTCATTTTGCCAATTTTTTATGTGTATATTTTATGTTCCAGCTGTTTTTTCCTCTTCTTTGGGTGGGTTTAATATCTACTTCCGATTTCCTTTAGCAAAAATAAGTTTTGCTATTATTGCAGCTCTGTTTCTTCCGATCCACAGCTACTCTAGCTGCTGCAGTTGTTGTTGCTGCAACGCTCCATTGCGTTGGTAAATGTTTTTTGTTTATTACTGGTGGTTATATTATTTGTTATTTATTGCACACTAAACTTTAAATGGGTATCCGAAAACGAAGAAGAACAACTGAAAAGGGTTAAGAAGAGTGATGTTGTTTAAAACTCTATTTTGGGATCTCGACGTTATGAAGGCGGTTTAGAATCAGCGGTCGGCGCGGAGTACAGCTTATGGTACACTGTACATGTTCCGGCAGATGCTAAGCAGAGGTATTCCTTATGCCCGCGAAAAGGGACGCTGCCGATCGCTGGATCAAAACCAAGTGGTATATCCCTTGTTTAGCTGTTTTTTAAGTGCTTTAGAGATTTCTCTTGGTTTTTTGGAGGCTTGGGGAATCTTTTTAAGATCGTTTTGTCTACATTCCTAAAATATTTTTAGCACTTTTGTTTATCAATTAAGTAAAATTAATAAAATTCCATTTTATGTTAATAACACTTTAAAATTTCGTATACTCTCTTCGGCTTTTTCTTAGCAATTCCCTTTCGTCACTTTTATCGTTATCTTTGCTTCACCTTTTTCTACCTCTCCTTTTTTCACAGTTATAACTGCATTTATGCTTCACACTCTTTCGCAGTTGTTGTTTTTAAGTTGCAACATGTTTTTATTGCTTTTGTTGTTGTACTTTGGAGCAGGTAAGAAAATCACTTAAGAGGTTTCCAAGAAACACACACAAAGCCACGTTGGAACACACACACACACACGTTGGAAGGTAAAACCTGTTTCCAGGTAACTCGGCGAAGGTGTGCGAGTGCGAGGGGGACAGAGCGATCGCAACAGATCGCAGATGGAAAAGAGAGGGAGAGAGAGATGACGCAGATGCTGCGTTTTTTCTTATTTATTCCAGCTTCTTGTATATTTTTCTTTGGGTTTTAACTGTTGTTTGTTGAAAATAACATTCAGGGATTTTATTTATTAAACATTTTTTAATATTGTCAATTGATTTGGCTTGTTTTTCGGTTCGTTTTAGTTTGAAAATTTAATTTTTTATTTCCAATTCTAAGCACTCACTTTAAACTTAACATTTATCAATTTGTATACCTTAAATATAGTATTTTATTGGTTTTCGGCCAGTATTGTGGTGTTGTTTTTGTTGTTGCTGTTCGCGCACACGCGAAAATCGGAAAATCGGCGGAAAACGCGACGCGCACTTAAACAGCAAGCGTACTCACGAAGCGTTCGACCCGAAAATGGAAAACGTACAGAAAACGAATTTTTGAGCCACAAACCACGCGGTTTGATGCCCAGGTTCGAGTCGAACATGTTTGGCGAGAGAGTGTTCGGGCGAGAGCGCCCAACAGCGCTGTTAGTAAAAAACGGTTGAATTTGCATCGCTAACATGCTGTTAGCAGCGGCTTACAGTACAGGTTCGAACGGATTATAGGTTAGGTTCGAGTTCGATAGGTAGTCATTTTTTTACTTTGAACTCTCTTAAGAGTTTCTCTTCGTACTTAACAGATAACATTCTACTTGACAGAAACAAAAAACTTCTGTAACGAACACGCTATCTACATTTCTGACCGGCTTTATGTTAGCTCACATGGTAATCAAAATTGTTTTTTAATATATTCAAGTTTTTTTAGATTATAGTTTAAAAACTTTGAGCCGTAAAATCGGACACAGGCTGCCGTTATAAAATATTTAAAAATTTTTGTTTTATAAACTGCAATCAAAAAGGATCAAAAAATTTACAAAGCCAGTTTATACAATGAAGTTTAATAGGTATATCAAAGTCAAGACAAGCTTAATTGAGCTAATAATTTTTTGTAGTTAGAATATAATCATTTAATTCAAAATATTACACTTAATTTTATCAATTGAGCAAATATTTAGTCATTAAGGGATTTATTTTAAAATATCAGTATCATTGGTTAAAATTTACACTGCTTCTTTTAGCAATCGTTATTAAACTTAACTGGGGAAATTTATGTTTTAGGATGTATGCTGAAATCCAATATGCTGATAATTGCTTTCGCTTTACTTTGTAAATTTGCTCCCTTCATGAATAGTTTTACGATTTTGGTGAAACTAGTGAAAGTCACTTGAAGGAGTAAACTTGAGTTCCGCGAATTTTTTGTTATATAAACAGCAACTTATTGGTAACCAAATCCGAGAATGACAGACGTTTTTGCAAATTTTATTTGGGTAGAATAAAACTTATGCTAACTGATTAAAATTGTATTCGGGAAATCCTCACTTGATTAGGTCCAAAACGAATGAGCCCGGATAATCGATTTGCGGCAGTTAGCTTTGCCTATTAATGGAGAGAACTATCGAACGCGACTTTCCAGTGTTGAAAGGGCCAAAACTATTGAAATTCGTTGGCCGTTTTTAATTTTGTCCGCAATTTTTAATTTTTTTAAAATTAAGCGACAAGCGCCCAACAGTCAATGAAAATGCGTTTGCTTTACCTATTAAAAACACAAATGGTGAATTGATCTATAGGTGGGCAAACATAAAAGTCTCGGCCGAGTCTGTGGTGTTTTGGCGATTACAATCGAATTTTTCGATGACTTCGGACTTTTGCCGCCCACCCATATCTAGGCATTTTTAAATTATCCTAATTTTATTGTTTCAATGCTCCCCTTTTTTTTTAAATTTCTAATTTATTGTACTGGCTTGATCTGCTTTAAAATCATTGTCAATTTTCCTGGACTTTTTCTAACATGTATACAGTTTTCCATACAATAAATGTGCCGTAATATTTATAAATTGATTTTTTCTCTCTTAAGCACATGGCCGACAATGACAGTCAATTTACTATTTTTTACCCCTACAGAAGGTTATATAATTTAGGACAATGTTTGTAAATGAAAAACAAATTTCTAATCATTTACATTAGATCAAAAGTATTTTTTTTGCAGACACAAGAATGATCGGACAATCAAATAAAAGGTATAGAAACAAATAAGTTAGTTCCTTTTTAAATTTGTCACCATTACACCATTTTCAAGGATTTCAGAACTGGGAATTAAATTACAGTATATAGCTTCGTCTTTTCATCTTTATAACTAAAAAAATAGTAGTTTTAATTTTAACTTGCCTCACATATATATATATATGATGGACGTTGATGCACTACGAGCAGTACAAACAAGTGGCCCAACGACACCAAGCACGTGCTTGTTACGCGCGGGACCCTTTTATCAATTTGGGCAAAAAATACGAGTTCGCGAGGAAGATACAAAAAACAAATAGAGACGGGACACAAATGAAAATAAAAGAAGCATCTAAGAATGAAGCAAATGAGTTAAAATATTAGTTTTTAATACCGGCAGACGGCATAGTGCCACCTGAACGATGCTGACATGGATTCCATCGATATTTTTCAAATAGCCGTAAAATCCCAGAAGTAAAATAAGGAAAAACTAAATAAACTAAGGCTAAGAAAAATCAACATTTAGCTAGTCAAGTAAAGTGTTGGCGAATTCAGAAGCGATCTTTACAGAAATTTGCGCCTTAAAGAAGACTTCCAAAGATTGGTCTCTGGAAAATATTTGCCCGTAATATGGTATGATCTATTGGCAACATATGAGCTCATGAAAAATAAATTGTAAAGCGATATAGCCATCGTAGAGTGCACAAGTACTAAGCTGCAAGGAATAAATGGCTCTTTTGTTGATATATAAGATCTTTGCGTCAAAAATGAAACTCATCACACACTAAAACATGCAAACTGAACTGCTTCAAAGCCAGACATCTACGTTAATACCACTCTTAAACATGTTGCCTTACAACCAATAATAAAATTCTATACAATGCTCTCCAATAGATCTTGCAGCTAGTAACAAGGACACACTACCCATTCGATACTAGGTAAAGGCCTTCGGCGGTCGACTTTGCAGTTTAAGCAGGTGTCCCCAGCGACAACGGTAGATATACAGTCTGATCATATCCCAATTGTTATTGAATTGGCTGTCATCGGTCAATTTCACAATAACTCTTGCAAGATTTTTCTAGAACGCATCCCTGTCGGGTGCTTTTCGCCAACCCCGGCGGGCATTGGCTAGTACCTTGCCCTAAAAGCCGGTACCGACGATGAACAGTTTTTTACGGAAAAGAAAAATAAGATGGAGGAGGACAGAACAACCAATTCTTACTTGACTAATTTTTTAAAAATTGGCAATAACACATAAAATAAATATGGTCCTTACTTCCTTGTGGCAATGGGTGACCGCGAGGAGGTCTGGGCCGTTCATTAGGCTGCCCTAACTTCTTAACGGAATACAAAGAGCCGTAACAAACAGTAAATAAAACTAAAAAATATAGGCATCAAAATGATTTTACACCCATCCAGGATGCTGGCCAATAGGCCGGTCGGACGTTTTCGCGTTCTTGGCAATCTTAATGAATAACAACCAGTTTATTATTTTTTTAATGTATTTTTATTGAAATTGGGTGGTAATAAGACATTTTCGATCCGTAATTTTTTCAGAGACATCTATATCCTATAGCTTTCTTAAAGAATTTGGCCATTACACCGGTCATTTGGTAAATTCAGCAAGCGTTTCAGGACTCCGTTTCGGACCGGGTCCAAACTGCGAGTGTTTCATCACATGATGTGTGTTGCCTAGAGATGGATGGCCGACGATAGCCAGAAGTCATCGAAATATTCGATTGTAATCGTAAAACACCAAATACTTATTTTTTGCACACCTCTAGCCTAAGGCCGATTTTCAGTATTTTCGGAAATTTGTTGTAAAATTATAAAAGAATTAATTTTGAATTAAAACTAACCAATCCGTACGTTGAAATTATATTTTCCTAAAGCAAATTTACTCCGAAACAGGCAAAACTAAAAATAATACTCCTTTAAAGGGAACGATTTTTTTTGTTGGATTTCAAATCAAATGTATTTGAATCTGTCGGAAAATTCTGTAAAACCACAAAAAACTTTTCCAGTAAGAAATCAGGCTAAAATATCTGAATTGTTTAGCATTTGGTCAACAGCGCATTTTAACATTTGCTTACCAACAGCCGAAGAGAGGCGAATTAAAATAAGAGAACGCGCATTATCCAACATTGTATGTTAAAAGAGAAGCCAAAATAATATTGAATATTGCAACAATATCAAAATGTTAAATAAAATGTGTAAGCTTATATATTTTATTAAAAATTTGTAATATAAAAATTAAAAAGTACTTGTATAAAACTGGTAAGAGCTGAAATAGAAAAGCTCGCCTTTGGCAACATGTTGCGTTTTTCAAGTAGTTTTTACGTTTATTTTTTTCGTAAGAAAAACTTGTTTTTATGGCCAACAAGAAAAACCAGTCGGAAAATAAGTCAAGAAAAATAAGAAAACCAGCAACAAGTTGGGTGCAAGAGAGACGGCAAGACGGTTCGAAGGAGAGCGAGATAGGGGATGGTGCAACAAGTTTGAAGGCAAGAAAACTTCGTTAAGTTCGAATCCATACGTGTGTCCATCTCTTTCGCACCCCCTGAAGATCGCTGTTAACGATCTACATTTAACCAGTTTTTTTCAAGAGGAAGAGAAGATTGAGGAGAATAAGCACATAATAAAGGTAGAAAAACAAAAAAATGTTAAGTTTCGAGAACCGCTTAATTTTAATTTGTTATTTTGAATCCTTTTGGAAGAAACACTAATGTTTTTAGAAATACCAACAAAAAAATCCTTATAACCATCCAATCCTTAAAATATTTAATGTTTAAATGAAATGGTCCTACCAATTGTAAGTTTCAATGATATTTATGAAACTAATCAAATATTTAGCCAGCTTAAATAAAAATAGAGTCTAGACTAAAATTTGTTTACAGGTTCAATTCTCCAATTTCTTGGAGATGTCTTTCTTTTTGCGGTTTTTGTCCCCCGAGTTCATGTTTGCTTTGCCTGCTGTTTCTTCGCTTCTCCTTCTCCTCCCTTCTTCTTGTCAACCCCTTCTCCAGGTGCAAACCCGTTTTTCTTTAAAACACGTTCTTCTCAAGACGAAAACCTCATTGATATGACACTACTCACCATAAACCTTTTCTTAGACTTTTGTTTTGACCACACCCACGAGATTTTTATAAAAATTGTTTAAGATTGATTGAATTATTATAAAATATTAAAAACCATGGTAGATTTATAAAAACATTTGCATTAAAATGTCAGTATTTTGAAATTGCATTTTACCAACTGTTGCTGCCTAATTTCCATTTAACATTTAAAAAATGAATAAGGTAAGAATTATTTTTAAACCAT